GTTGTAAGGCTGCGCTTGTTCCACCGCTGCGGATCGGGGCGCTTTTCTGTAGAATTTCGTCAAACATCTCGGAAAGTGAGGGAGTGTACGCCTCGGGGCGGGGCGGGGCATTTTCGGCGTGCCTTTTCGGCGTGTTTTTTTATTTCGGCCCGAAATAAAAATGGCCTTTTCGGCCGAAAATTTTCGGTGGCCGAAATTTCGGTGCACCCCTACAAAATTGAGTTGCTAGTAGCTGCAACGGACAACACACAATCATGCTTACTTATGTTTTTGAAACAATCTGAGAAGAGATGAGCACTTTTTGGTTAAACTGGAAACCTGTGATGAAGGGAGCACAAGCAGACACCGCATAGCTCTGAAGGGTCTTATGCCAAAAATGTGGCTTCACACACGTGTGGGCATAAAATTTCTATTTTCTGATTTAAGTGTGTGGCTGTGTGGTGCTTTATTTTCAATATTATTTTTAAGAATATCTTTCCCCCAGTAACATGTAATACAATGGCTAATGTCTGTGCAAATTCTCAGTCATCCAGGTTATAGTATGCTGAAAAATACTTAGAAGAAGGCATCTGGATGTAATTTTAGGTAGAAGATGTTTCACCTCTCATCCAAGAGGCTTCACCAGTTCTGTCTGACTGGTGGTGAGCTGGAGATATTGATCCCACCGGGTGCTGTTTCAGTCCTTCGGCAGCCAACAGTGTTCTCTAACCACTGAGTCATTAGGGTCTGGTACCAGTGAGAGTCGTTACCTGTCTGAACCAGGTGGACCGACGCCTATTGTCCTGGTGTGAGTTTGGGTAGAGATTTCCAAACAGAGTTGTAGATGGATGACAAGTTGTTTGAGTCCAAAACTAAAACTACATCCAGATGCCTTCTTCTAAGTTTTTCTTTTTTTTCAGTACAATAGTAAATGCATCTGCAGTTACATATAATGCTTAGTTAAATGAAACTGTGCAAATCTTGTGTGTTTTTAATAGTTTTTGAACACTAATGGCGCTCTAAGGTACAGACAACTAAGCTAAACCAGGTTCTTCGTTCACTGACGTCACGGTGAGTACACAAAATTCATTGTTGGTGTTGGCCTTTGGATGGAGTTTGTGGAAAATAACAAAGCATAAATAAATCTTCCCTTTAAGATGACTATAATGTCTAACAAAGATGCTGTAAAATTGTTCATGACCATTTGGTCAAAAGATTAGACATGTAATAATGTAGTGTTCTTTTCTTTCATGTTGTCACTGAATTAACCAGGGCAGCAGTCACATCAGTGCTGTGTTAGTGTTTGACTCACAGATATTTAAAGCTACACTAGTCAGCAACTCTCCTGTTTTTTTTAGGTACATCAAGCTCACTGAAGTGTCTCCCTGCATCATGGTGGACTACTACCAGGTTTTAGGAGTGCGGAGAGATGTGTCTGCAGATGACATAAAGAAAGCGTGAGTTGATGAAGTTTTAAAATGTGATCTCTCATCTGTGATGCTCTGAAACAGTTCAGCAGATATCTCCACAGCGATACCATCACATTATTGTCCTCTAAAGGCTGTCACAGCCAAGCAGCTGCTGACTGATATTGTATAGGATGGCAGGGCTCCAAACTAATGTTTCATACTGGTGGCGCTGGTACCGCCGAGCCTCACAGATGGTGGCACCACCTCTACTTTACACTGTAAAGCCAAAGAATATGTTTGTTTGTTTTTTGACAAATCATTTCAAATAACCTTACCACCCAAATGTGCGTAGTGGTGACGTGGAGTCACTGTGGAGCAACTCATTTGATAGATTCGAAGTCTCTGCGTCATGAAACAGGCGAGTGACAGACCTGCAGCTAAGCATTGCAATGATAGTACTGCAGAGTTTGTTACGTCTATCCACCATTTCACTGGTACTAGCACAGTACATGCTACTTTGTTTCCTGTAAATGTTGCTTTTTATTTCTCTGTAATAGTCTCATTTTTGTTGTGAAAAATGTCAGTGAATAGTTATTGTAGTTTTCTGTTGACAAAATGAACACGTAGTTTCGAAAATCAGGTTTTATATAATATAGTCTTGAATATTGTAACTAATTGAAATAAAACTGATTTAATTATACTTTAATTAAAATGTGACATTACACAAATAACCATAATAAGATATTAAAACAAAATAGTACAATTAACGAAAAGGTGGGAAATGAAGAGAGCACTGCTGAGTCTTTTATGTTTGTCTTATCAGCAGCTGGCAGTTTATCTTTGTTTGTCTTATCAGCAGCTGGCAGTTTCCTAACAGCCAGATAAGTCTCTAAGCTGAGTGTTTTTTCAGTCAAACCTTATTAACAGCTGCCATCTTCCTTCTGTCCTTACACAGGTACAGAAAGTTGGCCCTGAGGTGGCACCCTGATAAAAACCCAGATAACAAGGAGGAGGCGGAGAGGAAGTTTAAGGAGCTGTCCGAGGCCTATGAAGTCCTGTCAGATGGTTTGTATTACTGTCTGCAGACGCAGCACAGTAGTTAACAGGGTGAAGCTAATAGCAAGGACACGGGGTCTGAAGGGAGCAGAGGACTTCTAATGAAACCCATCCACTTTGTTCCTCAGTGATCTGACTTAGTTGTGTTGTCAGTGTTGTTATTCTACTCTGTTTTTAATTTTCCTGTTCCAGCCAACAAGAGGAGCATATATGATCACTATGGTAAAGAAGGACTGACAGGGAACAGTGGAGGGCGAGGTAAATGCTGCTCTATATCTATGTATCTACTGTATCTATCTATCTATGTATGTTTGGATACACTTTCCCACTGAATGCAATGAGAAAGTGTGTATGATTGATTAGGTTTGAAATGAGACGGGCTTTGTTCTGCATACGTGTGTTAAACTCCCAATAGAATAGCATTGAGTTCAGTTTGGCCAGAGGCCGGTAGACGCAGCATAAATCACTGTTTCACAGAAACGGCGAATGTGGCACAAGCATCTTCAAAAGTTGAAAGATGGAAGCGGCTTCCTCCAAAGTCAGTGCGTTTATTTTATGGCAGTGTCTATAGCAGCTTCTGTGTGGTCTGTGCCTCACAGAAGAGCAGCGCAACTTGGAGTACCTAGAGTCAGTGGTGGACAGTAACTAAGTACCTTTACTCAAGTATTTTCATTTTCTGTTACATCATACTTCTGAGTACTTCTTCCACCACTGCATTGTGATTGTTGACCGTGGTTTTTATCAGCCCGCCTTGAGTTGGACTCCTCTGAAAGCATAAAGTCGGTTGTGTTTCTAGTGACCATCAAAAGAGGGAGTGTGTGTGTGTGTGTGCGCGCGCGCAATCCCGGCAGAGTTGGCTGCATAAACACCAGACAACAAGAGATAGTCGGGCGCGTTCTGACCTACTGGAAATACGCTGTTTGGTTTATGCGACAGGTGGCGCCTGGGTAGAATGTGCAGGAGGCAGGACATGATGTGGTCATGTGGACGGTTTCTAATCTGGTCATAAACAATGAGTCACTTTTCCTTAAATTTGTCTGACGGTTCTGTCTTTTATAGGACAGAAGTTGCCAAATATTGTGCCTCCAGCCAGATATTGTCTTGGGCATCTTCATTGTAAATGACCGTTCTTCTTCACCATTGCATGTTTGTGTTCTTCTGGTTTCATGCCAGTCACATGATAGAACATCATCAACTTGCCCACTAGCTCAATGTGAATACTCTGGACTATACACAACTGGTTTCTTACATGGGATCAATCTGGCCAACTCAGACTAACTTTGTTCTAGGGAGCTAGCAGGGTAAAGACCGCTCATTGTCTGGGTTGACTGACTTGGACATTTATACACTTTGACCGGGTAATGTCTAGATAATTTCAGGGTTCCAGTGCATGTCTGAAAATGGGTTTAGTTTGATGGTGAATGAAACAGATGGAGATTATCGGAATGGTGAAAAATGACTGACTTAACAGTATCGAGTTTGTTTTGTTATATTTTTGGTTTTGATCCAGAATTTCACCGTTTACATGAAATTAACATTGTTTCAGGTCATTTCCATAACGGGGAACATTTCCATGAACCATTCACATTCCGTAACCCAGAAGATGTCTTTAGGGAATTCTTCGGTGGCAGAGACCCATTTGCAGACTTTTTTGGTAAGTTGAAAACGTAAAGAAGTTAGCACATCACTAAATCTGGTTTTACCAAAACGCATATTACAAGTGGTCCAGCCTGGATTATACTCTCCTTTCTTCTTTGTCCTACTCTCTCAGGTACTGATCTCTTTTGTGATGATCCTTTTGTCAGCAACAGCCGGCATCACCAAAGCCCGGCAGGTCGTAGCCGGACAGGTGGCTCTTTTTATGGGGGCTTTATTGGTTTTCCTCCCTTTGGTGCTGGTTTCTCACCATTTGACCCAGGTGAGGAATACACCTGTGAAAAATTGCAAAAAGAGAACTGGCTGCAGTCTGCACAAACTCAAGAATAATACACATTGTTTCAAACCACTGTCACTTGTATAAATGAGACTTTCTCTGTCTTGTGTATCTCAGGCTTTGGTTCTTTTGGAACCATGAGCACCATGGCTCCTATGGGTCACATGACACCCATGGGCAGTTTGGCAGGTGGTGGCTTCACCTCTTTCTCTTCCACATCCTTTGGGGGAAGAGATGGGGGAGGTCTGGGCAACTTCCGCTCTGTATCCACCTCGACCAAGATGATCAATGGCAGGAAGATCACTACTAAAAGGTACATGATCCCAACTGCATTAGTTCAGGGCATGATGGGAAACACCTGGCTCTCACCTGATCTGACAGCTGATTGGTTTCAGTGTTGGATTAACATGATGTTTCATAAAAATGTATCATTTCTTCTAGAACTGCACAGATTGAGAGTTTATTAGTTGGCATCTGCACTGTGAATATTTGTGTTTAGAATAAATGTGTGTGGTGGTGGTGGTGGGGGGGGGGTGGGCACAATGTTGTCGATACAGGTACTAATGTACCCGGTCACGTACTCAGCATAATCCTGTACACTGACAGAAAGGTCCTCTGAAGTGGCTGCAGCTTTAAACACATCACAGTCTGTCTGTCCAGAGTTTAATTTGTTTGGTGACAGGGTTTGTTTGTTTCAGTCTTTGTCTGTAAGCTGGATACTGGAACAAAGAAATGTGGTGTGGCCCTGTGTGCACCATGTATGTGCTGTCTCTGGTGGCATAGCACTGACAATAACATCATGGAATGTGATCTCCCCACTGTTGTTCACCGTCTATACCAATGACTGCACCTCAGCAGACCCCTCTGTAAAAATCCTAAAGTTTGCAGATGACACAAAAGTCATTGGCCTCATTCAAGGTGGTGACAACACAGTTTCTTCCCCCAGGCTGTTACACAAGCCACCCTGAGCCCATGTGGTTATGTACAGTGGGTACGGAAAGTATTCAGACCCCCTTAAATTTTTCACTCTTTGTTATATTGCAGCCATATTTATATTTATTAAAAAAGAGAAACTGAAATATCACATGGTCATAAGTATTCAGACCCTTTGCTGTGACACTCATATATTTAACTTAGGTGCTGTCCATTTCTTCTGATCATCCCTGAGATGGTTCTACACCTTCATTTGAGTCCAGCTGTGTTTGATTATACTGATTGGACGTGATTAGGAAAGCCACACACCTGTCTATATAAGACCCTAC